TTCATGTTTGGCTTCATAGTAGAAGCCAAAAAGTTCTGATTAGGATTTCAAATGAAGCCCTGGGTAACAAAGTGGCAAGAAGACAAATGTAGTAGAGGCGGCAGCACTTCAACAACCCAGAGAGCAGATAAGCTGCTCCATCACTTAGGAAAGTGAGGAGGGAGGATGCCCGCCTAAGGAAGGGTGGCATTGACTTAAGCCAGTGGGGGAAAATAGTGCCTAAGGCTCTAGGGCTGAACTAGCAACAGCAACTGGGACTGGGATGTGACTTGGCTTAGAGTAGAGAATTCAGCCTCACCCTAAGGCAACTCCACTGGGCTCAAAGCCATTGGAAGTGGAACTTGGGGAGGGGGAAAAGCCCTGGGAGAAGAGAGAGTAACTGGCCCAGGTCAAGAGCTCTTCCTGGCCTTGGGGATTAGGAAGTGTGGCTGTCAGAATTCTTTCAACATCCCCTCAAACCTCTCCCAGCCCTTCCAGGCTTTCTCAGGCTCCTCAGCGGGCTCAGGGCAGGACTGCAGCCTTGACTTCAAGCCCAGGAGAGTGCAGGGCTGGAGGCTAATCCCACATAGGACCATTCTGGAAGCAAGGGTATGTGAGTTGGGAGAACAGGGATGAGAGAGAGAGCTCCAAGAGTCACTCACAGACTCCTCCTCACTGCTGGGAGATTTTGCTGCCATCTTATCGGGAGCTTTTTCCAGTATGGGCATCTTGGCGACTCCTGGCTGGGGAAGCAGAGGTGCAGACCTGGGGAACAAGAAGCAGGGAGGCATCAGCACAATAGCCACATAGAACTGCATGGACCCTTCACCTCCCACAGCCTGACACTCCACCCTCACCCTGTGAAGAGGCTAGAACTGGACATGGGCCCCAAATACACAGAGCCTCCTTGTAGACCTGGTCCCAATCACCCAATCTCCTGACCAGCGCCCTGACCACAGTGTCCTTTCTGAGTCCACAAATGGGATAGAGTGGGGTCTAGAGTGAGCCTTTAGCTGGCCCCTGCTCCATAAGACTGTCACCCAGGCTCAACCTACCACCCCAGAGCAGAGTGGGAGGGAGCAGAGCTGGGCTTCCTCACTCCAAATCCATACGGGGTTATTGGCTGAGCACTTGCTTTGTTTCTGCCTGGCACCCAACAGATACCGGTTTTGCTGATTAAAATCTCTCTTTCCCATTAGACTGTGAACTTCTCCTGTTGTGTTCAGTGCTTCATCTCTGGGACCGAGCTGCGTGAGTGGCATGGAGTAGGATCAGTGCTGGGTAGCTGAATAAAAGGAATGCATGCATGCGTCAATGCATGCGTCAATGAATACAGGTCCTCGAAGGCTGTGGGCTCCGCCAGCGCTCTGGGCTGACAGGGAGCCTGGCCTCTGGCCAAGGCAGGGGTAGAGGTGGATGGACTGTGACTTAGGCAATCTTTGGTTCACAGACACCTAGAGCAGGCGACATGGGGATGCTGAGGGAGATGGGACAGGGCAGCTGTGCAGTCCAGGGCCCTAGGGACCACCTGACTCAACCAGGAGAGAAAAGCATTAATTTTTTATTGACAGTAGAAGTGACCCCAGCCAAGAGGGGGCAAAGGCCTATTTTAAGGCTACCTTCTACGTTCAGAGAATGCCCTTAAGCATAAGCCTCAGAGCCATGCACCCATGGTTTCTATTCGCCCATTGCCTATTCTCTTCCAAAAGCAGAAAGCTGATGCTTAGCCCATTTTATCCCCCACCCCACCCCCACCCCCAGGCAAGGACGACTCAGGTGGGAGCTAGGGTCCAGGCACAGTTGACCCGAGGGCAGCGCATCCAGAAAGATGGATGAATCAGGCTCCAGAATGGAGGAGCCTGGGGCTTCCTGGCAGCACTAGACAGAGAATATAGAACCCATGTGAACACTCTGCCAGGATGCTACAGACTAGGCGGTCCCTAGTTCTTCCCTGGAGGGCAGTAGCTGCACCCACTTGCTGCAAGATAGAAGCAGTAGCATCCAAGCTAGGGTCCATCCCATCCCTGCAGAGTTTGGAAAGGTCGGTGAGGGCAAGGTCAAGTTGGTAAAGGCCCTAGTGTGGCTGGAGACAGCCATGTCTTGGGAAGGTGTGAAACTGGAGCAGGGACAGCTTCCTGGGGACCAAATGGGAGGGCCTGATCCTTGGGGGGCAGCCGGCTACTATTCCTCCTTGGCCCCTGGGCCCGTGACAAGGAGGTGTATGTGTATGTGTGTGTGTATCTTTCTGTCTGTCTGTGTTCAGTGCCCTCCACTCTCTGCTGCCACCAGCAAAGCTTCCGAAGGCTGCCAGGAGGGGTCTCTGCTCTGCCCAGGAGGCCCAATCCCCGCTCTGCCCAGGCAACACCAGGCAACACTGTGCCCTCTGGAGACTCCCTGGGACCCAGCTCATACTTGCCACCTGCGGCTGCTCCCCACCTCCCGCCCCCGCGAGAGTTCGGTGACCACCCGCGATTCAGAGGGGTCTGGCTGGGTGAGACCCGCCAACGCCCTAACTGGGCACAGAAAGTGCAGACCTTGGCATTTAGCAGATGGGGATCTAGGAGAAGAGAGAAATGAGGATACGCACGTGGAGCCTCGGAGCCCAACGGTCAAGTCTCTCCAGGTCCTTTTCTCCTAACTTCTCCTGTTCTCTCCCCGTCCCCCTCCCCCCACTCCTGGTGGGGAAGAGCCTGAGCTGCGGAATCCCAGGCTCCTGGCAGTTCCCCGACGGCCGCTTCAGTTCAGGGCTCGGAAAATCCCGAGCATCTTGGGGTCTCTCCGAGCCGGCGCGGTCCCTGGACGGAGCTTTCCTCCACCGCCCTCCGATCCCTGCGCTCTGCTCCCCGCGCCGCAGCCCTCCAGCCCAGCCCATCTCACCTGCCCTCCGCGGATCTGCCGCCTCTGCCGCCGCTCCGCCGCACCAAGCAAGACTGGGGGCGCGAGTAGGAGCCGGAAGGGATCCAGCAGTACGGGAGGTGGGGGCCTCTGTCCTTAGAGCCTCCGACGTCGCCGGGTCCCTGCGGCCTCCCGACTGGCTGCCGGCGAACCGGCCGCTCCTGTCTTCTCCCTCCTCTCGTGCCTCCTCCCTCCCCTCTCTCCTTTTTCCTCCCTCCCTCAGCCCCACCCCGTCTCCCCGTTCTTCCTCATTGCCCCCGCCCCCGCGGCTCCCTACCACGATCCCATTTCCCGGCCCCCAGCCCCGGCTCGGACCACTTCCCGGATGAGTCTGTGTAAGGGGAGCGGAATCCAGGCCCGAGGAGGGCGTGCAGAACACTGCTCCCCCCCCCGCCCCTGCCCTTTGCCCCCTGCCCAGCCATCCCCAGTCCCCGAGCCCTCCCCACTCCATTACCCTAGCTCCGGTTGCATCCGCACCACCCTGGGGAAGGTTGGGTCTGAGGAAATCTGCCCTCCCCGCCGTCTAGGCCAGGCTCAAACCATACCACAATTCTTTCAAAATCATCATCATCATCATCATCACCATCACCATCACCATCACCATCATCATCCTGTTTGTTGATCACTGCAGGTCCTCCTTCCTTTTCCATTCCCACCCCGTTCTTGCTTGCACTATGGAATGGGGGAGTGGAGATACAGACCTGCGGATGCTTATAGACTCAGCCAGAGGCAGACCCTCCTGCCAGACAAAGCACTCCTCCCCCACCCCAGATACACATCCTCACATACCAAAACATACAGACAGACCCACGCAGACAGACTCTGCCCAGACAAACGCACACGCAGCCCAACACACAGACGAGAACAGACGACAGACGTGCACACACCAGCAGTGAAGACTCTCACAGCATTGTTTAATACACAGGCGTACCCCAACTCCGCTGCCTCTCCTTGCCACAACTGGAAGGCTCTTCGGCCTTCATCAGGCCAGAGGCTCCAGGACTGGGAGTGGCCTGCAAACGGGGAGGGGGGCCTGCGGCTCCGATGACCTGTGCTCAAGGTGGGGAGAATTCTGACAGCCTTGGCCAGCTGCTTCCACAAAGGCCAGGGAAAGCGTGGGGGTAAGGGTGGGGAGGTGACTCCAGCTCCCACACTGGCACCCCCTTCAGTCACGACTCTGACCGGCACAGCCGGGACACAGCTGACACATCAAGCTCCCCCACTCCTGGAAGGATAGAGCCTAACTCTCTAACGAGCACACACGACACAAGCGCCTTTCCAGAGAGCGGACCTCCGCCCGGAACAGCTCGGCCCCTACTCCTCACCGGAGCCTGGACAGGGCAGGATGCCGGGCTCCAAGGGAAGACCACCCCAGGCGTTTCAGCACTCGGTGGCTGACACTGGGAGTGTCCTCAAGGGGCGGGGCCTAGCGTACCCGGAGGGAGCGGATCCTCAGGCTCCGCCGGGCGGCGCCCTGGGGCGCTGCGTTGGGCTGGGAGGGAGGGGCTGTCGCGAGCGTAGCTAGTCGTGTACAACAAGGTGTCCGAAGGTGGGTGCCTTGTTGGATTTGCTTCTTTCGTATCTCCTTTACCAGGTAGCAAAAGAGCCACAGGCTTCCCAAGTGCTTGCCAGGCTCAAACATGGATCCGGGCTAGATCAGCTCACCCTCCCCTCTGCCCTGGCCCTGTGCCCGGCCGCCCACCCTCATCAGTAAAGAGACTCGGTCTCGAACAGATATAGTTTATTGATTCGGGCCGGAAGCACCGCGGTGCAGGGGGCCAAGTTGGCATTGAGAGGGACGGAAGGAAAGACAGACAGACGCACGGGTTCTACACAGGGGAGCCCCGAGGTGGCGGCTCGCGCACCTCTTTATCTCTGCCAGGAGTGTATCGCTTTGTATGCTTCCGTGCTCCACGCCCCACTGGACGAGAGGGAGGGAAACACAGAAAGGGTCAAAGTGAGGGGATCCCGGCAGGCAAGTCAAGATGGGCGAGTGTAAGATACTCGTTGGAGGGGTGGGCCCTGAGCCGAAGCTGGCCAGTACTCTCACAGAGTAGCCACCTTGACACGGGGGGGGGGGGGGGGGGGGGGGGGTGAGGGGATGGCCTGGGGCAGTAGCTGGGTTGCTAGCTGTGGGTGTAGTAATTGTTGTAGACGTCCTCGCACTCGTCAAAGGGGCCCGAAGGGCTTCGAGGGGCGCCGTCTGGGTCCGCTACAGGGCGCTCACGCAGGCGCACAGCATCATACAGACCCTGCGGTGGCTCATCCAGCAGCACGTCGCGCTCCGAGCGGGAGCGCCTCAGGAGGCCCACGTTGCGCAGCAGCAGCAGGACCGGCGCATAGAGCAGGTTGGCCAGGCCCATGCCAAGGCTGAGTTGCGCAAAACCAAGCGAGTGCACTATGTGCCCCGCCACTATGGGCCCGAGAGCATAGGCCACGGAATAGGAGATGTCGGCGATGGCATAGACGCTGCCGTAGACCGAGACGTGGCGCACGTCCACGAGAAAAGCGAGCGTGGGCAGCAGTGCCGTGTCAACCAGAGCAATGCCGAAGCAGAGGCCGCAGAGCGAGATCACTAGCGGTGCGAAGGAGCGGCAGGCAGGCACCACGCACGAGCTGGCGCCGATCACTGCCAGCCCTAGTGCCCCGTACAGCCACTGCAGGTGCGGGTAGCGCGCCGCCAGGCGCACGGTGAGGTAGACACCTAGCACATGCGGCACGAAAGCTGGTAGCCAGGCCATGCCCGTCTGCCATTCAGACGCCGCCATCGTGTGCTCCATCCACGTGGCGATGGTGGGCTCGAGAAAGGCAAGGGGGATGTTGCAGGTGGTGAGCGCCCCGGCCACCACAGCGATGTAAGGGTCCAGCATGAGGCGGTGGATGGGTGTGCCCACCGGCAGGTTGGCCCGCGCCCGCGTCACGGCGGAGAAGGGCTTGGCCACCACCAGCAGCAACAGCGCGTCGAGCAGCGAAACAGCCGCGAGCACCAGAAAGGGCGCAGGCTTGCCCGCGAACTCGTAGAGGGAGCCCCCGAAGGGTGGCGCCACCAGACTCCCGAAGCTGATGAAGGCCAGCGCCACGCCCAGTGCGCGACTGCGCTCCGGCTCTTCAGGATACTTGTCGGCGATCATGGCAATGCCGGACGTATCCGCAAAGGCCGAACCCAGGCCCTGCAGGCTGCGTGCAGCGAAGAGCGTAGCATAGTCCTCCGCGAACGCGAACAGCACGGTGGAGGCAAACAAAACGCCCAGGCCAATAAGCAGCGGCACGTCGTAGCTCATGCGGTCAATGAAGGGCCCACTCAGGGGATTGACCAGCAGCTGCAGGATGGCCTTGGAGGCAAACAGCACCCCGATCTTCACGTCCTCACTCTCCGTCGGGGACGCTGAGGTGTTGCTCATGTTGTCACTGTCACTGGTTGGAGTGGGCACCTGCAGGGTGTGCACTTTGGGGCTCGTGGTGGGCCTGCCGGCCTTATGCATGTGGGCAATGTAGTCGGGCACGATGGGCACGATGACCATGTACAGCATGTTGTCCAGGAACAGCGCCACGCACACGATGACCAGCACCAGGCGCCGCTGCCGCCGGGGATCCTGCAGCACTGCGCCCATCGCCTCCGACAGCTTGCTGGCTGCCGCCCGGGCCTGGCCCGCCGGCGCCGAGGGCTCCATTGCCTCTCCTCCGCCGCTCTTCCGAGGACGCCTCCGCCGGGGCCGGGCGCGGGCGCCCTGCAGTGCAGAGACGAGGGCACGGAACTTCGCGGGCGCGGTCCGCGCGGCGCGGCGCCCTCTGTGTCTCAGGTGGCTGCAGGGCTCATGGCCCGTTGTCCCGGGAAAGGCAAAGACCGTGTCCGGCGAGACGCCTCCGGCTGTTCGCAGCCAGGCCCGGACCCGCCGCTGCTGGGCTCAGGGGCTGTCAGGGAAGGTGGGCGCGCTTTGCGGCCGGAGCCAGAGACTGGGCGCGCTGCGCCTTGGACTCGCCAGGCGCGGTCCCCGAAGCGTTGAAAGGCCGCCCGCGCGGGCCGAAGGGCATGCTGCTGCCGCCCGCCCGCTGGCTCGCTCGCCCCGCCGCTGCTCTCCCCTCCCCTAGCGTCGGCTCTTGCCTCCTCCTCCTCCGCCTCCTCTTTTTTTCCTTTCCACTCGGGGCTGTGACGCGGCGAGTCTCGGCCCCCGAGTGGTGCCCGGGCCACTTGCGTCGCTCATGCTAATGCGACGTCGGCGGGGCGGGGGCCGGGGGCGGGGCGCGGCCGGGCAGGGGTCCCCTTCCCAGATGCACCAGGACTGGAAACCCTAGAAAAGGGGTCTTGGTGTGAAGAGTACCGGTCAAGCCCGGGAGGATGGATGCGCGGAGCGAGGAGCGGACTGTCTGTTCCCCCGCCCCCTCTCAGTTCTAGGACCCAAGGGGTTTGCACTCGTTCTTTTACCCCCTCCCCAGAGGGTCGCGCAGTGGCCCTCCCCCCACCCCCAGCCCTGCTGGAGAGGAGGGCGCCGGGGACTCCAGATCTCCGCCTCAGCCTGGATCTCCGCGCACAGCCGGCAAAGAGCCCCCGAGGTGAGCCACGGCCGCGTCCATCTGTTCTCGCAGCTGGAATGTGGGGCTGCGATTGGTGGGGGGCCGGGTATAGATCCCCCCAACCCTTTCTCTGGCCCCACCCCTTGGCCCCTTCCACCTCCGGGAAGGGAGGGGAAGACGCAGAGACTGCTGGGCCAGGTTCCGACAGACCGGCCCTTCGGGAGAATGTCACCGCAGAGAATTCCTGACTATGAGCTTCTGGGGATGGAAGGGAGAAGTCACCTGCTCCCACCCGGGGCCCCGAATACCAGCCTTGCCCCTCCCACCCTCCGGCACAGCTTCGCCGCCCTCTCCCAGCCAGTACTCCCCTTTTCAGCTGTAACTGTCCCGTTTTCCTAGCTCCGCCTCTTCTCCTTTCCCTCCTCCTGACCCCTCCCCATTCTAACTCCTCCCGGCCCCTCTTAGCACCAGAACGAGTCCTTCCTCAGTTTCAGTGAGGTCCCGCCCCCTTCCGTACCTTCTCTCCCGCCCCCCATCTCCAGAACTGCCTCCAAGTCCCAGGTCGGCTCTGGGAGTAACACGGCCGGGGGGGCCTCTCTTGGCAGCTGTAAGAAAGCCCGTGGGAGTGGGTGCGGCGCCCACTCCCGCGGCAGGACCCAGCAGCTTTGCTCTCATCAGAGGATCAAGGGAGGCTCACCTGCCGAGAAGCCTGCACTGCCCAGACACCCCATTCTCTGCAGGCTGGCTGAGCCGCCCTGGCTGGGCGCTGGGCCTAATGTGTTCCCTCAAAGAGTGTTGACCCTAGATGGCACACGGAGTCCGTGTTCCAGTTTGCGGCTGTCAGGGGAAAGGCTCTGAGGCAGCTGAGATTGGGAGACTTGGGTTGTTGAGATTACAGTGTGTCCCTTCCACAGTCAGAGAGGAATTTTCCCATTCTTCTGGTCTCAAAAGCAAACTAGCATTAGATACAGCTTCTTTCTCTACTGTGCTCCCGACCCCAAGGGAGGCACTGGTGGTGCAGTGCAAAGAACTTGGACTTTAGAGATAGATGACTGAGATGGCTCCCACCTCTGCCACTTACTAGTTAGGGCATCAGGGAATTACTTCACCTCTCTGTCCCTCTGTTTCTTGTAAAATGGGGTAATCATTGTGCCTACCGCTCATAGCACAGTAACAGTGATGTAAGTGCTTGCTATTGTCATTATTATCTGTAAAATGTGTTCTTTTATCTTCCTTTCACAGTAGCGGGTCTTGTAAAGAGCAGGTAAAAAGTACAGAGACACCTTGGCTTCTGGCCTAGTCCTTGTGGTTAGGTGGGCATTGTGATTCCAGGCTCTGTCCTAGCTGATGGGAGGCCCAAGAGCATTGGGAAGTTTGCTTCTGTCCCTGAGATGGCTGTGGGGCAAGGTGATGGAGACAAGGGTGTCAGGATGACAGCTTTGGTACCTGTTACTCAATCTCTCCACCCACGCAGGCACCCCAGAGAGGAGGAGAAACTCTTCGACTTAAGGAGTTCCCAGCATCTGCTCTGCGGTGGCCAAACTGCCCTCTGTCTGAGGCAGGAAAAGAGCCCCCATATGGAGACAGACCTGGCTCTGATTGACCTTGGGCAAGTCACAGCCTCTCTCTGGACTCCAGTCTTTGTCTCTGTTAAGTAAGGGGTGAGAGGAAAGCCCTCTCACTGCATTCTCTGGCGAATGGGTACTGGAGAAGGGCTTTTTGGGGTGACAGAATTACTTTAAATTTTATTTGAAGGCCTTGAGTCAGCACACACTCTCCAGCTTATCACAGTGTCCCTTCAACTGATTTTGCACATTTATGTCACCTACCTGATTCTCCAGCCATTTGGGTTTGGAACCTTGGGATGAGGAAAACAACTTCTGAGAAAAACAACTTTTGTTTTTCTAAGTTACTAGGCATTTTACAGTTTGGTAGCCCTACTCATACCCAGAATCTGGACATTTAGACACTTAAAAATTTTTTTAATGTGTATTTATATTTGAGGGGGGGGTAGAGGGGCAGAGAGAGACAGAGACAGAATCGGAAGCAGGCTTCAGGCTCTGAGCTGTAGGCACAGAACCTGATCCTGGGCTCGAACTCATGAGCCATGAGATCATGACCTGAGCCAAGGTTGGATACTTAACTAACTGAGCCACCCTGGCCACCTCCAGAAGCTGGACATTTAGATAAGGACTTGAGTTTAGGATTTGTGACTTAAGTTCCCACTTGGCTTTTCCTGGTGCACCTTTAAAAACAACTACTTAAAATTAAGCCCACAAAATGTTAGTGACCTCTGCCCCAACCACTTTATAAGTAATAAGTACTTGCCATCCTACTCTTTATCTCCTGCTCACTGATGACCTGGGACAGGGGTCTGCTCTTCCCCCATTGCTCTTTGCAGCCTCTCCCATTTCTGAGATCTGTAAGTAGTAAATCTGTGACTCTACTTCCTTTGTATATGTGTGTTGAAATTGCACCTTCAATTGAGGGGATCCCATGGGTTTCACTTTCCCAGAGTGAGAGCTCTGATGCTGGGGTGGGGGTGGAGGGCTACCTGCTGCCCTTGTGTGGGTGGCCTATACTTCGTTGTTCAGCATATCATACTCTGCATATTCTTAGTTCAGTATACCAACTCCAGCTTCTCAAAGCAGACCTCTGGCCTCTTCTGACTCTCTCATTGTGAGGCTTTTAGAGGGTCAAAGGGTTGATGGGGGAAGGGGGAGGAGAGAGAAGGGGCCGGAGAGGGGGGAGGGGGAGAAGGGCGATGGGTGTTGAGGAGGGCACTTGTTGGGATGAGCACTGGGTAGTTGTATGTAACTGATGAATCACAAGAATCTATCACCCAAACCAAGAGCACACTGTATACACCGTATGTTAGCCAACTTGACAATAAATTATATTAAAAAAATAAATTAAAATAAAAATAATAAAGGATCAGTCTTCCAGCCTGCATAGCAATTGTTATTTACCCATGTTATTTATGTTATATATATTGTTTGCCCTGTCTGATTAAACAGGAAGTGTGTGGGGTGTGGGGGGAGTTAAAGTAGATGTTTTTCTGTCTAGTTGTTGAAGAATTTAGAACTTAGTGGGATCTTACAGAAAAGAAACTTTCCCAGGGGCTTCAAGGTGTAGACACCTTTCCCAGCCCGCTAGCCCTCATAATTCATGACTGTTCTTGAGCACAGAGCCGAGTTATCTCTGAGATCATGCCTAACTCTCCAGTCCTCAGTTCACCAATGGCAGGGAACAGACTCATTTATTGAGAACTCTGTGCCAAGGGTATTATGTGTGCTGTGTTATTTAATCTCATTCAGTCCTGGTGCAGTGTAGGTGTTCTTTCCCCTGTCTTACTGATGAGGAAGCTGGGCAGAGAGAAACCAAGTTGCTTGCCAACAGTAGAGCCTGGATTTAAACCACCTGTCTTGTGATCCTCATGATGCCTTCCTGTTCGTTGTGCTTCATTGTGCCTCTGCTACTTTATTTGCAAGGCAGCCACACCCTGACAGTGTAGGGGAGATGGACAGATGAAGATCCATGGGAGGAGGAAGATCCTTGGCTGGTTCCTAAGGAAGCTCTTGGGACACTAAACTCCCTTACCCTCCGTTCCATCTCAGAAGGCAATCCCCTACCCCTTTGGTCGGCAGCCCCAATAACTAGGGGGCAGGCATCTCAGGGAGTTGAGGACCCTCTGCCTCAGCAAAAGGTTAGGGACTGAACCTTGGCAGAACTTGGGAGCAATTCCCTTCCCTGGCTGGCAGGGAGCTGTCCAGGGTCCTGGTCCCGGCTCCACCACTGGCCAACCAGCCTTAACACAGAGGCCCTGCTCCTCCTGTCTTCCTGTGTCTGTGGCTTGCTCTTCAATAGAACTCTTGGTAAATTCCTTTCCAGACTTCTCTATCTGACCATAACTTACAGGCAAATGAGAACTCATCCAATCTTGTTGGAGAAAATGGCAACATTTTCTTCTCTCCTTTCTCAATCAGATATAGGAACTGTTGCTACAGAGTACCTATCTGCTACTCAGTGTAAGTCAAATGAGTAAAGGAAAAATTTTATTTTTTAGACACATAGAAGTACTTATGTGTCTAAAAATTCTAGGCATTGTTCTAAGCATTTTACAAACATTAACTCATTTAATACTCTTACCAAACTTCAT